CCACCTCGTAACCTTGACGTTCAAGTTACAGAGAACAATAAGATTGAAGTGAGATGTTCATTAAAGGACATTGATTTTAATGGACCAGACAGAAAATTCATTGCAGAACTTCAAGATGTTGCTGGCAGCAGAAAGTCTAACACAACATGTCACTTTGAATTCAAAGATCTGAGCTACTTAACATCCTACAGTGAAGGTTTGTAACAACCAGGATCTGTTCATAACTCTGATTTTATTACTCGACTTAATTTGGATGTTTTGAATGCTAACAAGAACCATTTTGTAATTACAGGTGTTTACTTCCAACAGAAATTTTATCAGCTCACCTGTAAGTAGACAGGCTGACACTAGATGTACGTACCATTTCATTCAATCATGCTTTCTTTCACATGTTCACACTTTCCAAATGCATTTCTACAAATTTCTTCTTAAAAGGATCAATGTTTAATTTCATTTTTTAGATAATGACAAAGCTCTTATTGGATTTCTGGTCTTCCTCATCATCACCTCTGTGGCTTTTCTCCTCTATAAGATCTACGTGTTGAAACACAGAAAGTCCCAGTAAGGATGTTATGTTTTCTCAGCAGCTGGTTCTGCTCTTTGTTCAGTTGTGACCACAGAGGATTTTTTACAATCAGTATAAATACACCAAACTCAGCTCTGCTCACTGTAACTTCAATATTAAAGGTTGATTGACCTCTGTTAAAACACAGACACCAGCAAAGCCCCCATTGGCTGTTTGAGAGCTTCATCATCCACACAGAGGATGATGTTCATCATCCTCTGTGTGGCGTTCTTCATCATCAGGAAGAGGAGAAAATCTAGAAATATATTAAAAACAATGCTGTGTCCACTAAACATTGAAAATGATTTTGGTTGGAATAAGAACATTTGTAAGTTGAAGTCTAAAGAAGCGGTTGCATGTTTTACAGTCATCTGAAGTCATCTCCATGGTCTCCAGGCAGTTCTTCATTCAGGAAGAGGAGAAAATCCAGGAAGTAAAACCTATTCAGCTTTCATATTTATGTTTGTTGATTTTCATTTAATTCGATCATGTTTGTCTAAAATTAATCTTCTGACTTGATTGATTTTCTCCACAGTGATAATGAAGAACAGAATTGCAACAGCCAGTGAGTAAATTTCAGGCAGAATCACTGATTATAACAAACAGCATGTTTAATATCAGCTTTTAGTTAAAATCACCACATAATAGCATGTTTTAGATTGTTTTATATTAGATCAAAGTGAAAAAGAAAAATTCTTGACGAGGTTTTCATGCATTTTTCCCCCTTTTCTTGTTGCAGTCTATGCCAACATGCCACCTCCCAAAGACAACCAGTGATTATCTGATGGAGCTGCAGATCAAGAAAACATTGAAAGTTTTTATATTATTATGTCTGAAAATTTTAATCTTGAATACTGCAGCCGATGGTACAATGTTTAGTTATATCACTTCATGGAGATTTCCTGGATTTACTCCAGATTTTTGTTTGTTTCATATCAGGGAAAGTAAGAATAAAAGTATATGAATGTCGTCTTCATGTAATGACATATTTTCTCTTGTTGTTACAATCTATGTTAAAATGCCACCTTCCAAATGAAATCATGACGACTACTGATGAAGATCTGAAGAAGCTTCAGATCAAAACACTGTTTAATGTTCTTATTTTATGGCATTACAAACGTACGGAAAATATGAGAAAAGATGAGATGTAATGTAACTGTAAATACATGAATTGTCTAAACTCAGTATTAGTTTTCAGCATGTTATGTTATTTATTGACACCAAATGGATTGAACAGCATTGTTTATTAAAAACAGACATGCCAATAAATACATAAAAAGCACATTTCAAGGTCAATTTATTGTTGATGCTTGAACATCACCATATTTATACATTATTCTACATGTAGCATATAAAACAAGCTGCAAATTTCCTCTAATGATCTCTTTCTTCTAGAAAACATGTGTCAAACTCAAGGCCCGGGGGCCAAATCCGGCCCGACGTAGCTTTTTATGTGGCCCTCCACAGTGTAGACTAAACACCAAGTGTGATTAATATTATATAATCAATTATATCAATGCAGTTTTCATCTGTTTACTGCCAATTTATATCAATCAATCAATCCAGTTTCTTGAGAATTTAGTTGATTAGTTTTCGAATTTATACAGCAAAATAAATAGTCGCATTTATTATTAGTTCCTGAAGGAACTGAAAAGATCTTCAATAATATTATGTAATTTTAAGAGTTCATTGACATATTAACAGTTTGTGAACAGGTTTCATCAACACATTCTGGCACAACCGGCCCTTTAAGAGCCTTCATGATCTTGATTTGGCCCAAAAGGAAAATGAGTTTGACACACCTGTTCTAGAATATGCAACAGCAGCTTCGTGCTTTGCTTTCACCGCAGACCACTACCTCTTCATTCTCTGTTGTCTCGATGACTGCAGCATGTATTTCTGGCATGTCTACATTCACCGTAGGCTAACCGCAGCACTGCACATGAAGTGAATTCACACAAACATTACACTTTTTTACACATAGATAGAAAAAAAAAAGTCCTAATAACTGCCAGATACGCAGTTTGGTCCAAGAACATTAATTATTATGAAGTCATTTACCTGGATTTATTTATTTTTTTCTTAACTGCAGAGCACAGATACAACAATGCAAAAATTCATAAATATCTGCAGGCCCAGAACAAACCGTAGGATTTATTAGGACCCATTTCTAGAGCTGTGTGGTCTTGGCATGTGGTTTTCTTCTTTTCCTGTTCAATGCTTTGCAATAGAAAAGCTAAAAGTTTGGTTCTGCAGCTCAGTCCGGCTCCCAGGTGCTGATGGAATGAAATATTTTGCATCAGTTACTGAGACAGTTGATGCTCCTGGTCATGGCAGGTCTGAGTGACGTTATCTTGCTGATATGGGCCGTAAATGTCCTGGTCCTGGGTAAGTAACATTTAACTATCTTCCTCTTTCGGGTTGATAATGTTTTCACATTTTTCTTTTGTTTTTAACAGACAGAAAATGAACCCGATGAATAAAATATATATATATATAAAAATTGTTGTTTTCTTTTTTAATGTATGTGTAATGTGATGGTGTTTCTGATTTCTTTACATCATTTTCTTTTCTTTTTATATTTTCAGGTGAATACAACACCAAAGTAGTGATTCATATTTAGCCAAAATACCATTTTGGTTAAATATGTATTTATTCATTAATACAAATGTTCTGTTTCTAAAAGCCTCCAGCTTTGCTTCATGTTGTCCAAACCTTTAAAGCTGCTCAGTCTTGTTTATTGTTGCTGTCCAACAAAAAACAAATCTAAGATTAAATCTATAATTCACTGGAGAAAACTACAGAGCCTCTTGTCTTATAGTTTTAAAAAGCAGATGTTTTTTGGACAATGGAAAGATAAATTAGAGTCGCGGTTCACCAGATTATTTTTGACAATAAACTGAAACCTGCAAAAGTTGGTGTTAAGTTTGTGGGACTTTTATAACACAGGAACAGATTTGTCTGTTGGTGGGAGTGTAAAGAATAAAATTGTCTTTGTGAGTTGATTATAAAGTGTAAACCATGCAGACTCCTCAGGTTTTCAGAGATCTGCTCACTCTGTGTCTACAGGACAAGTAGAGACAGCATGTAGTCTCTATGCTCTCTAGATCTAGAAGAAACTCCCTGAAAACCTGAGAAACTCTTGGCTCCTTTAAATTCAAACAATGTTTCTGTTACCAGCTGCTTTCGATCAAAGCATTTCTTTCTCTTTTCCAAAGCTTTCATGCTTATGCTTTTCCTGTTAACCTGTTTGGACTAACTTGTATATAAATGACACTGTTAAAATAAACCTGCTTTACCTTATAGTGATGTAGAGGATTAACCATTATAACACTGAGCTTGAGGTAAAATAGTGAGAAACTGGTATTTAATGAGGTTTAATTCAGATGTTAGGTTGGTTCATTAATCGTTTCAAGAGTTTTATTATTTTCAGTGACATTGAAAATAAGACATTAACTTTAGGTTTAACTGCACAGCAGAAACTCTTTATATTAATGTGGACATTGTGTGAGTATTTAGATGCAATAGATTTGGTCTTAATGAGTATCAACGTTTTATATATAGATAGATTATAAATAGTCTGATCAATAAATCAACTTTTTTCTCATTTATTCTACCTTTTAAATATCTTTGAGCAAATGTCTTGTAAAACATTGAGGATGGAGAGGATCAGTTCCTTCAGCTAAATGTTCAATTCTTCACTTTAAGAAGAACTGATATTGATGTTGATTTTTATATTTTTAGCCTCTTTACCTCCACTCACTGGGACAGGTGCACCTGCACCTGTTGGTACCACACCTCCACTCACTGGGACAGGTCCTCCTGCACCTGTTGTTATCCCATCTCCACGCACTGAAGCAGGTCTTCCTGCACCTGTTGTCCCCTCTCCCCACCCCACGCACTGAAGCAGGTCCTCCTGCACCTGTTGTACCACACCTCCACGCACTGAAGCAGGTCCTCCTGCACCTGTTGGTTATCCCACCTCCACGCACTGAAGCAGGTCCTCCTGCACCTGTTGGTACCACACCTCCACGCACTGAAGCAGGTCTTCCTGCACCTGTTGTTATCCCACCTCCACACACTGAAGCAGGTCCTCCTGCACCTGTTGTTATCCCACCTCCACACACTGAAGCAGGTCCTCCTGCACCTGTTGGTACTATCTTACCTCCAAGCACCGTTGCAGTAACAACTACTGCAGCCTCCAAACCTCCCACCATTATCAAACCCTCACACACCTCTCTATCCAACTCCTCAAATCCTCCAAGCTCTTCAACGAAAACAAGTGGTAATGTATTCAGCTTTAGTTTACAGTTTTAAAAAAATATCTTAGTTTTTGAATGATAAAATTAGTTGTTCTTTAAGAAACATAGAAGGTAAGAAACTTGGTAGTGGATTTCTTCAGCTTGACGGTGACCTCCGCATGCTTTCCAACCAGCAGTCAATACCTCACCTGCAAGCACCTCAAATGAGACTCCAAACACCAACCAGTCATCTTCTGAGACAAAACTCTCACCTGCAAGCACCTCAAATGAGACTCCAAACACCAACCAGTCATCTTCTCAGACAAACACAACCATGACGCCCACCACAGGTTGGAACTATAAATATTTAATTTGGGACGTTAACAAGTTTGTTAAGATATAGACTATGGATTACAGACAGTAGGTCAACAGTAGGTTTGCCAAGACAGAAATCAGGCAACTGTAGATTTAAGATGGTTTGAGAAAATGTTTCAGTTTTTAACTTTTTTCATTTTCCCTCTTGCAGCTCAACCCAAACCGGATCCAAAATGTGAGTATCAGATTTGAGGTTATGAACAATTGTTTAATGAAGGTGCTCTTTTTTCTGAGATTAGACAGGCTGACACTAGATGTACGTGTTGTTTATATAACAATCAGTATAAATACACCAAACTAAGCTCTGCTCACTATAACGTCACTGTAACTTCAATATTTAAGCCACATTGATCTCTGTTCAAACACAGACAACAGCAAAGCCCTCATTGGCTGTTTGGTCTTCCTCATCATCTTCATCATCCTCTGTGTGGCGTTCTTCATCAGGAAGAGGAGAAAATCCAGGAAGTAAAACCTATTCAGCTTTCATATTTATGTTTGTTGATTTTCATTGTTAATTCGATCATGTTTGTCTAAAATTAATTGATTTTCTCCACAGTGATAATGAAGAACAGAATTGCTTCTCAACAGCCAGTGAGTAAATTTCAGGCAGAATCACTGATTATAACAAACAGCATGTTTAATATCAGCTTTTAGTTAAATGATCACATAATGTCTGGTAGATCTGCTGGAATTCATAGCATGTTTTAGATTGTTTTATATTAGATCAAAGTGAAAAAGAAAAATTCTTGACGAGGTTTTCATGCATTTTTTCCCCTTTTCTTGTTGCAGTCTATGCCAACATGCCACCTCCCAAAGACAACCAGTGATTATCTGATGGAGCTGCAGATCAAGAAAACATTGAAAGTTTTTATATTATTATGTCTGAAAAATTTTAATCTTGAATACTGCAGCCGATGGTACAATGTTTAGTTATATCACTTCATGGAGATTTCCTGGATTTTACTCCAGATTTTTGTTTGTTTCATATCAGGGAAAGTAAGAATAAAAGTATATAGATGTCGTCTTCATGTAATGACATATTTCCTCTTGTTGTTACAATCTATGTTAAAATGCCACCTTCCAAATGAAATCATGACGACTACTGATGAAGATCTGAAGAAGCTTCAGATCAAAACACTGTTTAATGTTCTTATTTTATGGCATTGCAAAACGTACCGAAAATATGAGAAAAGATGAGATGTAATGTAACTGTAAATACATGAACTGTCTAAACTCAGTATTAGTTTTTAGCATGTTATGTCATTTATTGACACCAAATGGATTGAACAGCATTGTTTATTAAAAACAGACATGCCAATAAATACATAAACAGCACATTTCACGGTCACTTTATTGTTGATGCTTGAACATCACCATATTTATACATTATTCTACATGTAGCATATAAAACAAGCTGCAAATTTCCTCTAAATGATCTCTTTCTTCTAGAAAACATGTGTCAAACTCAAGGCCCGGGGGCCAAATCCGGCCCGCCGTAGCTTTTTATGTGGCCCTCCACAGTGTAGACTAAACACCAAGTGTGATTAAATATTATATAATCAATTATATCAATGCAGTTTTCATCTGTTTACTGCCAATTTATATCAATAAATCCCTCCAGTTTCTTGAGAATTTAGTTGATTAGTTTTCGAATTTATACAGCAAGTAAATAAATAGTTGCGTTTATTAATTTTAATCTTTTCCTGAAGGAACTGAAAAGATCTTCAATAATATTATGTAATTTTAAGAGTTCATTGACATATTAACAGTTTGTGAACAGGTTTCATCTACACATTCTGGCACAACCGGCCCTTTAAGAGCCTTCATGATCTTGATTTGGAACCAAAAGGAAAATGAGTTTGACACACCTGTTCTAGAATATGCAACAGCAGCTTCGTGCTTTGCTTTCACCGCAGACCACTACCTCTTCATTCTCTGTTGTCTCGATGACTGCAGCATGTATTTCTGGCATGTCTACATTCACCGAAGGCTAACCGCAGCACTGCACATGAAGTGAATTCACACAAACATGACATTTTTTTTTCACATAGATAAAAAAAAAAAAGTCCTAATAACTGCCAGATACGCACTTTGGTCCAAGAACATTTATTATTATGAAGTCATTTACCAGGATTTATTTATTTTTTTCTTAACTGCAGAGCAAAGATACAACAATGCAAAAATTCATAAATATCTGCAAGCCCAGAACAAACCGTAGGATTTATTAGGACCCATTTCTAGAACTGTGTGGTCTTGGCGTGTGGTTTTCTTCTTTTCCTGTTCAATGCTTTGCAATAGAAAAGCAAAAAGTTTGGTTCTGCAGCTCAGTCCGGCTCCCAGGTGCTGATGGAATGAAATATTTTGCATCAGTTACTGAGACAGTTGATGCTTTTGGTCATGGCAGGTCTGAGTGACGTTATCTTGCTGATATGGGCCGTAAATGTCCTGGTCCTGGGTAAGTAACATTTAACTATCTTCCTCTTTCGGGTTGATAATGTTTTCAGATTTTTCTTTTGTCTTTAACAGACAGAAAATGAATCCGATGAATAAAAATATATATATAAAAATTGTTGTTTTCTTTTTTAATGTATGTGTAATGTGATGGTGTTTCTGATTTCTTTACATCATTTTCTTTTCTTTTTATATTTTCAGGTGAATACAACACCAAAGTAGTGATTCATATTTAGCCAAAATAACATTTTGGTTAAATATGTATTTATTCATTAATACAAATGTTCTGTTTCTAAAAGCCTCCAGCTTTGCTTCATGTTGTCCAAACCTTTAAAGCTGCTCAGTCTTGTTTATTGTTGCTGTCCAACAAAAAACAAATCTAAGATTAAATCTATAATTCACTGGAGAAAACTACAGAGCCTCTTGTCTTATAGTTTTAAAATGCAGATGTTTTTTGGACAATGGAAAGATAAATTAGAGTCGCGGTTCACCAGATTATTTTTGACAATAAATTGAAACCTGCAAAAGTTGGTGTTAAGTTTGTGGGACTTTTATAACACAGGAACAGATTTGTCTGTTGGTGGGAGTGTAAAGAATAAAATTGTCTTTGTGAGTTGATTATAAAGTGTAAACCATGCAGACTCCTCAGGTTTTCAGAGATCTGCTCACTCTGTGTCTACAGGACAAGTAGAGACAGCATGTAGTCTCTATGCTCTCTAGATCTAGAAGAAACTTCCTGAAAACCTGAGAAACTCTTGGCTCCTTTAAATTCAAACAATGTTTCTGTTCCAGCTGCTTTCGATCAAAGCATTTCTTTCTCTTTTCCAAAGCTTTCATGCTTATGCTTTACCCTTTTTTGCCTCTTTTTGTGTCCAGTTAACCTGTTTGGACTAACTTGTATATAAATGACACTGTTAAAATAAACCTGCTTTACCTTATAGTGATGTAGAGGATTAACCATTATAACACTGAGCTTGAGGTAAAATAGTGAGAAACTTGTTTTTAATGAGGTTTAATTCAGATGTTAGGTTGGTTCATTAATCTTTTCAAAAGTTTTATTATTTTCAGTGACATTGAAAATAAGACATTAACTTTAGGTTTAACTGCACAGCAGAAACTCTTTGTATTAATGTGGACATTGTGTGAGTATTTAGATGCAATAGATTTGGTCTTAATGAGTATCAACGTTTTATATATAGATAGATTATAAATAGTCTGATCAATAAATCAACTTTTTTCTCATTTATTCTACCTTTAAATATCTTTGAGCAAATGTCTTGTAAAACATTGAGGATGGAGAGGATCAGTTCCTTCAGCTAAATGTTCAATTCTTTACTTTAAGAAGAACTGATATTGATGTTGATTTTTATATTTTTAGCCTCCTTACTTCCACTCACTGGGACAGGTGCACCTGCACCTGTTGGTACCACACCTCCACGCACTGAAGCAGGTCCTCCTGCACCTGTTGTTATCCCACCTCCACGCACTGGAGAAGGTGAGTATTATTTAAAAAATATCTTAGTTTTTGAATGATAAAATTAGTTGTTCTTTAAGAATCATAGAAGGTAAGAAACTTGGTAGTGGATTTCTTCAGCTTGACGGTGACCTCCGCATGCTTTCCAACCAGCAGTCAATACCTCACCTCCAAGCACCTCAAATGAGACTCCAAACACCAACCAGTCATCTTCTCAGACAAACACAACCATGACGGCCACCACAGGTTGGAACTTTAAATATTTAATTTTGGACTTTAACAAGTTTGTTAAGATATAGACTATGGATTACAGACAGTAGGTCAACAGTAGGTCTGCCAAGACAGAAATCAAGCAACTGTAGATTTAAGATGGTTTGAGAAAATGTTTCAGTTTTTAACTTTTTTCATTTTCCCTCTTGCAGCTCAACCCAAACCAGATCCAAAGTGTGAGTATCAGATTTGAGGTTATGAACAATTGTTTAATGAAGGTGCTCTTTTTTCTGAGATTATATAATAAAAAAATTGTTTTTCTTTTTAATTTCATTCTAACAGCTTGAGATAAAACCTTGAAGTTTTATTTGAGCTCAGATGTAAAACTGTTGCTTTGCAGGTTCCTACAGTGTTGAGACGATCGAGTTTGGTCTGAAGATACAGATGACAGATTTTACTCCTAACAACTTCACCGTATATGTTGCTGAGATCCGAGATTCATTTGAAAGGAAAGGCAATTTTAACACCAGTAAAAACTCAACTTATGTCATCAAACCTCTGAAGCCGTGCACTGAATATGAGCTAAAAGTCACATTTAGTGACTCCAATGGTGCAGAAATATCCTGTAACTCAACCAAAGATAAAACAACAACTACTGGAATGAGTGAGTAAAATGTTTCATATTTTATCTTTACTTTTATTATTTAGTGAAATGAGATTCTGTGAGAACTGAGACAAATATTGTTTCTGTGTTTCAGCTGATCGAGACATAAAAAAAGCATCCTGCCCTCCTGGATATTTCTGTTACCAAAGTGATTGGAACATCAACTCTTTACTATCAGAAAACAACAAAGTTTCAATTGAAGATTTCAAGAATGGATCGTATCGTTTCAAACACGTTTATGACGACATGTGTTCAGATTTAGTTTTAACGTTCCCAGAAAGCTGCTCCAATGCCACATTTACCAAATCTGAAAACTTCACTGTTGGTATGAACAAAAACATATTAATAATAATTAATATGATTATCAAATCTGTGGATGTGACATTAGTTTCACTAAACTGGTATTTTTTTATTCTTCAGATTTCATTGATCCAAAGGACATAAATCAGACTAAACCTGATAAACTTCCTGCAGAGATAATACCAAAGTTTCCATCAAGATGTAAAAATCTCAGTGTTGATTATAAATGTTCAGGTGAGTAAAAACTACATTTATAAAAAACAATTAAAAAACTATATAGAGTAGAAAACTACAGATTCTGCCTTAACAATACATTATAAATATTTTCCAAAATATTTTAACACTTTTTTTTTGTAAATTGTGTCAAAATGTAAAGAATAAATCAAACAGCTGATCAGTGTTAATATGCAGCCGCTGCAGAAATGACTAAATGTTTGTGTGTTTCTTCAGGAATAAACATGAAGCCGTTCACAAACTACAGCTGCACTGGTGACATCAAGATGAACAATGTCTCCATAAATAAGACACTTCCACCTGTCCAGTTCAACATTCACTGTGGTGAGTTGGTATTTACTGCACTTCACTGGAAATAAGAACAAAGTTATTATACTAACACAACACAGAGAGAAAATCACTATCAGGACATCATTCATTGTTTTTGCTTTTCTATTGCTACAGATTTTACAGTAACCAACCTGAAGAACAGTTCAACCAGTACATCCATTGAGCTGAACTGGGAAACGAAGAGTAATAAATGTCAAGGTGTTCTTGACAAACTGGATTTGCTCTCTCATAAGTGCGAGTGTGAGCAAGATGTGGAAGGCAAGTGAAATAAATAGATTTAGTTTAATGTTTATTACATTTGGATTAGCACAAATTCCACTTAAAATAAATCTATTTTACACAAACTCCAGAGGAGAAAAAATGTGTAAAACAACCAGATGTGATCAGTGAAGCTGTGACTCTAAACTATCACTGATCTGAGGATGATTTTAACGGAAATGTTTCTTTAATGTTTGACATGAGAAACAGACCAAACTCTGTTTCAACATGATAATCATTTTTAAGATTATAAAGATCTTTTATAACAAGCTGCTGTTGTCAAACCAAACACAAAACAGGTTCTGGAAAATATAAAAAAATTACAGAAAAGACGATTCATCGATCTGAAGGAAGAAAGTGTGTCTTCGAGGAAGGAGTTAAACCATTCAGGGATTACAGATGTAACGTCAAACACAGTTGGAAAGTTGGAGGAATTTTGGAGACAGTTAAACAGTTAAAGGAAAGACTGAGCCTGGAAGTAAGTAACCGAGAAAATATGTTTTTTGAAATAATAATATAATCTCCAAACACTGTCTGATTTAAATTAATTTGATATAAATTTCTGTGTGAATTTCTTGTTTTTATGCTTTGTTTGGCTAAAGGTATAAACAGTAAATGTATCTGTTAGGAAATTCAACTCTTTTTTAACAAATTAAGTCAGAAATTTAGTTTTTGGATTTAGACACAGTCAATCTAGAATCAGTTATAATTTTTAAATGAGTTTTATTGCAATCCAGTTGAATTATTACAGTATTGAAAGTCATTATTCTTTCATATGGTTTTCCATGCAAAAACGTCAAATTGTTTTCAAAACACAAACTGCGTCTCAACATATTCCATCATTGTAAAGTTCTGCGTCGACAAGAACAATAACAAGTTAGTTTAGACCCATGAATTCATAAATTTGTTCTGGATAATTGAGAAATCCTTGTTGGTAAATTAAATATGGTTGGTAAAATAACAAAAAAACAAAGTAGTGATGTTGAGTTCTCTTAATATTTTTATTTGGACAGCAGATAAAATATTAACATAAATGTATCTGCATTACAGTGTCATGGTAAGTTAAAGTAAGTTAGATATTTTAACATTTTTGTTCAGTGTTTGGTCAATTACAAACCTGGTCGTGTTTCTTTTTAAATCATTTTCATGTTTTGGTTTCAGGTTTTATAGGAAGAAAAGATTTTCCTCCCCATGTGTTTGTCTTGATATTTATTCTCTCTTCTTCTTTCAGTACCAGAACCACCTCGTAACCTTGACGTTCAAGTTACAGAGAACAATAAGATTGAAGTGAGATGTTCATTAAAGGACATTGATTTTAATGGACCAGACAGAAAATTCATTGCAGAACTTCAAGATGTTGCTGGCAGCAGAAAGTCTAACACAACATGTCACTTTGAATTCAAAGATCTGAGCTACTTAACATCCTACACAGTGAAGGTTTGTAACAACCAGGATCTGTTCATAACTCTGATTTTATTACTGGACTTAATTTGGATGTTTTGAATCCTAACAAGAAGCATTTTGTTATTACAGGTGTTTACTTCCAACAGAAATTTTATCAGCTCACCTGTGAGTAGACAGGCTGACACTAGATGTACGTACCATTTCATTCAATCATGCTTCGTTCCACATGTTCACACTTTCCAAATGCATTTCTACAAATTTCTTCTTAAAAGGATCAATGTTTAATTTCATTTTTTAGATAATGACAAAGCTCTTATTGGATTTCTGGTCTTCCTCATCATCATCACCTCTGTGGCTCTTCTCCTGGTCCTCTATAAGATCTACGTGTTGAAACACAGAAAGTCCCAGTAAGGATGTTCTGTTTTCTCAGCAGGCTGGTTCTGCTCTTTGTTCAGTTGTGACCACAGAGGATTTTTTACAATCAGTATAAATACACCAAACTCAGCTCTGCTCACTGTAACTTCAATATTAAAGGTTGATTGACCTCTGTTAAAACACAGACACCAGCAAAGCCCCCATTGGCTGTTTGAGAGCCGATGAAGAACGTGTGGCGTTCTTCATCAGGAAGAGGAGAAAATCTAGAAATATATTAAAAACAATGCTGTGTCCACTAAAACATTGAAAATGATTTTGGTTGGAATAAGAACATTTGTAAGTTGAAGTCTAAAGAAGCGGTTGCATGTTTTACAGTCATCTGAAGTCATCTCCATGGTCTCCAGGCAGTTCTTCATTCAGGAAGAGGAGGAAATCCAGGAAGTAAAACCTATTCAGCTTTCATATTTATGTTTGTTGATTTTCATTGTTAATTCGATCATGTTTGTCTAAAATTAATTGATTTTCTCCACAGTGATAATGAAGAACAGAATTGCTTCTCAACAGCCAGTGAGTAAATTTCAGGCAGAATCACTGATTATAACAAACAGCATGTTTAATATCAGCTTTTAGTTAAAATCACCACATAATAGCATGTTTTAGATTGTTTTATATTAGATCAAAGTGAAAAAGAAAAATTCTTGACGAGGTTTTCATGCATTTTTTCCCCTTTTCTTGTTGCAGTCTATGCCAACATGCCACCTCCCAAAGACAACCAGTGATTATCTGATGGAGCTGCAGATCAAGAAAACATTGAAAGTTTTTATATTATTATGTCTGAAAATTTTAAATCTTTAACATTTTAAATTTTAAAATACAAAGAATAAAACAAAATTATTTGTATTTTGTTTTATTCATTCTTATGTTATGAATTCTCCAAGTCAAAAAATGAAGCAAATCATCTCTTTCGTCAGTCAGTCCACTATATGAATAAATCTGATTAAGTAGATAAGAAAATCTACTTAAAACCACAGTCACACAAGTCATTAGCAGCACACAACCAGAAATGACTTGTGGTTTAAAAAAAATAAAGATTTCTTGTTAACAACAGGACAGCAGAGCAGCATAGAGCTGTAAGGCAGCTTTGCATGAGAAACTCTGCCTTCCTCATTGACATGTTGAGAGTTGTTCCCTCTTGTGTCAGATGTATTTATTACACTCAGCAAAGAGGATGTGGGAGATTTGAATGGTTTTATTATCCTGCTCCTGCAGAATAAAGTCTTTGTTTTGAACAACAGTAAATAAATACATTGAATTAATCAACAAGTTCATTAAGATACTTACAAAAGGTTTCATGCCATTTTCAGTTATTGTTATAAAAAATGTTACCATTTACAGATATTTTATAATTATTCTAATGATTTTGTTTTTAGGGAGTGTTAGCTTCTCTTCTAATTATTATTTAATTATCTCAGGTTTCACTGCATGATATTTTATCTTCCTCATTGTCTGTAGTGGTGTCTATTTTAGCACACAAATAACCCAAACTAAGTAATAAAATGTTTTTTTAAAACTAAGGGAGCGTTCACACTGGGTAGTCTGGTAGACTTGGTTCGATTGGGGACTAAAATTAAAACATTTGTTACATTTTCAGAACTCTAGTTTGCATTCACACTGCACTGCGTCAAACAACTAAAACTGACTGAAAAACCTGTTCCCCCGTCGTCTGTGGGGGCGCTGCACCAATCGGACACAAAACATCTGAAGAAGACCTTAAATTGAAGCTGAGAAAATTGCTGATGTTTGTGTAAAATGATTTATTTTTTACTTTTCAATTAATATAGTTTCATACAAGATCAGTTATTCACTAAAACTGTTCCATAGCTGAGAAATTGTGCTGTGCATTTAGGAGGAGCTGTTATTCTTTTCTTCGGTGGTTTTTAGGTTAACAACTGAATTAGGGTTAGGGTTAAGTATAAGAATAGGGTTAAGTATAAGAATAGGGTTGAGTATAAGAATAGGGTTGAGTATAAGTGTAAGAACTGACTTTTGTTTGTTGCAGAAATGTTGACCTCCTGAAAAGTATTTGAATCTGTTTTACAGTATATTACCTTCATACTGTGGTGTAAAAGTATGTACTTTTTGTTTCTATTAATTTCATAGCAAAAAGAATCACAAAATCCAGTGAAATTTATTCACTTATTATACCTGGATAAACACAAGTTTTTCTAAAAAAAATTCCAACAACAAATAAATTAAATTAAAAAGAGAGAGAGAGCGATAGTGATCATAATGCTGTTTTTACAGCTGAATATAGACTGGAAGTGTAGTAAAAAAATCAGCCCAAAGAATTAAAAGCATTGAATATTTTTCTCTTAATACGGCCAATAAGGTTTAAAACCTGCAATGATTTACATATTCATTTATGTTTTATTAAAGTACTGCATGTTGCACAAATCAAAACCATTACTAAATAAACTGCCATGTTTTGTTATTGTCGTCTGCAGGGACTTTCAACTTGATCTGGTACTTGTGGCAAAACGTTTGGAAAACTCTGTTACACTTTGACCTGAAGACTGATGTTAACTTGGATAAAAAAAACATTTAATCATAAACATAAAGATCCTGTCTTCTTCTCTGATTGATGCTCCCGTCTCCAGGCTGTCCGTTTAGATGACAGGAACTGTCATGCACTTTAATAGCATTCAATGAGAATTTTATGCCGAGAGTTCATTAATAATAATAATAATAATAATAATAATAATAATAATAATAATAATAATAATAATAATAATAATAATAATATGAGGCAGCTTTTAACATCCTGCTGGTGAGAGATGGGATTTTTACTCCAAGTAAACCTAAACTGATTAGTTAACCTTTTTTTAAAAAATTTTTAGATATTTTTGGGAGTTTGAGGATTTTCTGAGGTCAAATCTTTGTCTCATTCATTTATGACATATTAAATGAGATATGAACACAAAGTTGAGTTTTGACAGCTTCTTTCTCTCTGGTTTAGAAAAATAATTTTTTGTCTTGGAAATTTTTTTTTTTTATTTGACCATGACTGAAAACCTTTTAAATTAATTTGTAAGATCTAAAAAGGTTCAATTTCAAGTCAAATTGCAGCTTAAAGATACAATTTAGGCGATTTAAAAAATGTGGCTCTTTCTGGGTTACTTTTCCAGATTATGCAGGGTAAGTTACAAACCTACAAGCTCAAGAAAGTGAAATGAAAATGTTGGAAAATAACCAGAGAACCAGATCAACCGTTCTGTTATTACATCTGACTTTTTCTACAGAAATGAAAAGACCTTTGTGTTGTGTGATACCAGATATCCCTCATTGTTCCTTCATCTTTCTGCAATGTCTGAGAGCAGAAGCTAAATACTGCAAATCATTATCTACAGATTATAATCCCTGTTCAAAATCGTCTCATTTTGACCTTTGACTTGTCAGAGTCTGCAGATGTAAACCTCGCAGGGTGAACAGACAGGATGATTTATAAAACCAAGTGTAGCAAAAAAACTATCAGATCTTCCTTCTTCATCTGTTGATTCGTTATCTGATCTGATTGAAAGCTGCTTTTGTTTCCATCAACTTGATGTTTCATGCAAAGAAAAGAACAAGAAAAAAAATATCTTCCTGTCAATGGGGGTGGAGGTCTTTTCTACTGCATGAAGAATCTGCAGCTCCTCTTGTCGTTGCATTTGCAGCCTGTTTCTGGACATGGCTGATCTCGGTGCTGCCCGCCTTCTGCTGGCCTTCACCATGATTGTCTGTTTAGCCAAATGTAAGTATGACCCTTTTTCTCAAAGTCACTGGAAATTATTTACATCACTTAACAACTGAAGCAAAGCGTTAACTATAACTCAGCTCTGATGCGTAGCTGTATGATTAAAATGATGAGCTCCAGATCATCATAACTAAAGGAATTTATTTTAAAACAACTCATTTTTGCAAAGGCTCCCATCTTATCAGAGTACATGCAAAAATAACTTGAATATAGAATACATGTTTTTTAATCTAAATACACTCGTATTACCGCGCATATCTAGCAAAAAAAAAAAAAAAATGTTTTCCTGTAATGAACAGATGCAAAATTGTAAAAACAAACAAAAATGTAAGGTTTTGCTGAAAACTTTTCACTTCCACTTTCCACTAATAATAGTAAGTTATTATTATTTTTCAAAATATTTATTTATTTCTGTTGAACTCAGTAAAATAAGAAATGTATCAAAACAAGCAAAATAATTAATTAAGGAAGCATGTAATTTTAAAATAATATGTAAAATGTTCTAAAATTAATTCTCTTCCTTTATTAAAAGGTGTCCATTTTGAACCAAACTTTCTTTTTTGGAACGTTTAAAATGAAGTGCTTTTCTTAAATTCCTCTTAATTTATTTTCTTAAATCTTAAATCTAAAATTCTAGTCGGTTTTTATTTAATTTGGAGATAAGCATCATGTTACTTTAATTGTCTGTACATTTTAGTTGATGTTCCACTTATTAAACAGCAAATCTCCTCAAAAACAGATTTTATTTCAAGAATATTCCTGGTTAAATAAAGATTAAATAGAATAATTATTTATAATTCTAAATTCGGGTTAACATATTCAGATTCAGGCAAATGAAAATGAACTTAGTGTTGACTTTAGATGATAAATGTTAGAGAAAAATGACCTAAGGTTATTTTAAAATATTTTATGCTGTTACATTTTTTCCTCCTCTCCTCACAGCTGAGCCAAGCGCCGCGCCTCCGCTGTGTGAGTAAAACACTAAACATTTTGAACTTTTACACCAATTTTGCTTTTTGTTTCACTATATTTTTTTCTATTAATTTTGAAAATACATCTTATAGGAAGGAGACATTTTTCCTCTTTAAGTTGAAATGGATTTATTTTTAATTTGCTGAGTAGGTTCTTACAGTGTTAGAGCGATCCGGTTTGGTCTCCAGTTTAAGATGACCAGTTTCCCCACTGGTCGCTACACCATAAGCATCGGTGAGGAAGGAAGTCCAACAGCTGAAAAGATCGTCAACATTTCTTCTTCTCATAAAAACCCAACGCATGAAATCCAACGTCTGAAGCCCTGCACTGAATACGAGCATAAGGTCACGCTGCTTGACAACAACGGAACAGAAATATTCTGCAGCGGCTCTGGAGGAAAAGCAAAGACGCTCAACATGAGTAAGTACAAAAATGTCTGCAAGTATCACTTTACTGATTTGGCGTTCAGCACTGAGAAACTTAACTGATGCGCTTCAGATGAACAAGACATCACAAACAGCCCCTGCATCCCGGGATACGTTTGCTACCGAAGCGGCTGGAACATCAACTCCTCGGTTTCTGCACCAAACCAAACTGAGCAGTTCAGAGACGGGACCTTTGGCTTCAAACTGGCTGAAGACGACATCTGCTCAAACTTTACTGTCAGTTTTTACCAAGATAACTGCAACAACGCCTCCTTTAACCTGACCCGATACATTCCTGCTGGTATGTGTGGAAGATCAGACCAAACTTTAGAACTAAGTAACTTTGTTTTGATTTTTGTAGGAAGAAAAAAAAAAAAATCAAAAAATATTTTTTTTGACAATTACATTGTTTTTTTGTATTTTTTTTAAGTCTACAGTTGTAATATAATAAAACACAGAAAATATACAGATATTCTTTAGGAAATGCATAAATTGTTGCAGATCCAAAACTTAAAAACTGTTTAGCATGTCATGCAAGTGACTGCGATCTTACTACAGTTTTATCATTTTAATCAAATAAATAAATAAAAAAGCAGATTTCAGTGAGTGAAGGTTGGTGGAAAATGTGGTTTTATTTATTTTGAAATTAAATTAAAAAAAGCATAAAAAAGCATTTCATTGAATTTCAAAGATGAATATTTATAAGACTGTAATTTAATTAAAAAACAGAATTCTCCATCTACCTCTGCTTTCAGGCAGTCAGGGCCGCACACAATCAATCCAGAGGCCACAAATGGCCCCCGGACTGCAGCTTGGAAACCCTTTCTAAAAACCTGAATGGTTGGATTAAAATTATATTTGTTTCTTTTTCTAGATTACATAAATCCAAATGACATGAATCAGACTAAACACAATCGCCTTCCTGCACAGATAGAAACTAAACTCCCTCCAAACTGTAAGAATCTCAGCATTGAGTACACCTGCTCAGGTGAGTGAAACGACTGCAAGAGACGTGCTTAGAAACAGACGTGCTTAGAAACAGACATATGTGCATATAGATGATTATAATAGCACTTGTTCTCTCTGTATAGCTCTTCTGAATTTGGAGCAAAAGGTAAACATACTAACAGCAGATGTTAAAATAAATTATCTGCGTTTCCTCAGAAAGCGGAAAAGTCGGGGACTCCATTCAGCTCTCTAATTTGGAGCCGTTTACAGATTACAGCTGCACTGGCCTGATCAAGAACAACAATGTTTCCATCAATAAAATAACTCCAGCTGTCCAGCTCAACATTAACTGTGGTGAACTGCTGATTACTGTCTTTGAAATAACACAACTTTAATCCAAACATAGTTTTGGGTTGAAGAACAATAACAAATAAAGCAATTTTTGCTGTTTTCCAACAGATTTTAGGATGACTCCCAGTGATGCATATGAAAACACAAGTATAACTCTGGTGTGGTGGGAAACAACCAGTGAGAACTGCGGAGCTGTTCTTCCTAATTTAGAGAAGCTTTTGTACAAATGCAGCTTTCAGGAAGTTGATGGAGGTGAGTAAAAATTTTCCTATAATTTTGTTCCTCAGAAACATTTGTACTGCTAACTCTTTGCTAGACGTTTGGAGAAACAAATAAAAATTTAGTCAATAGTTAATTTAGATCTTCCATTCTCTGTAAAACAAATCAACTGAGCCAACGTCAAATAACAATTTAGTTTTAATTTTCCATAGGACAAATGTATGAATGCACCGTAATATTTTTTAAAAATTTACTTTTATTTGGTCGACTAAAATGTCTTTATTCTGACCTGCTGTTGTCAACCAGATACAAAGGTCTATGGCACGACAGTCCGAGAGCCTCGTGGAGGAATATGTAAATATGATGAACTTAAAAGATACACCAGATATATTATTGAAGTCTACGCCGTCTATAACAACAAGAAAGTTACCCAAGGATCAACCTTCAGAGGACAAACAAAACCTGGAGGTAAAAATGAAAGAAAAAGTATTTTTTTCTTGATAAACAAATTTCACCTTCACTGAAGACATTAGATGAACATTTACCATTTGGATATAAAGATTTTTATGACTTTCTATAAAATCAATTAAGTTTTGCTTAACAAACAATACATGACATTTTCTGTTGTCGATTCTCTTCACTTAAGAAAACATTTTGCTTCATTAAAACTTTATAGCAGTTTTCTTATTTAAGCTTATTTGGCTCAATTAAATAAAATAATGGATAATCCTACAGATACCCTCATAATTTATCTAATTGAATTTAAAAAATCAAAACTTTAGATTTTCTATGTTTACAGACTTCTAGTTTTTATGCCCCTTCTTGTTGTCATTTCATTGTCACAATGTATTTTTTTTCATAGATTTAATGTATTTAACTATTTATTTGCCATATTTTGGTCTTGTGGTTGTTCTCAAATGTAGGGCAAACATTTAGGAATATACTGACAGACATGAAGATGTTTTATAATCAAAAGTGTCAAATTAATTATTAAAATTATTCTTGAGGGTTTTTTTAATGATAGAATATTTTTCTACGCTTTTACCAATTTTAAAAATAAACAAGTCAAAAAAATCCATCCATGATTTTATAAATAAGTTTATTCTTTTTTTCTTGCATCAGTACCAGATAAAGTTCAGCAACTGAAAGTCCATCTCATAAAGCATAACGTGATCAGAGTAACTTGCTCCCCGCCAGTCGGTGGATTTAAAGGACCGAAGAAAGTTTACATCATTCGTCTCATTGGTGACAGAGAAGTTGAGGAAACTGACGAGTGTCAGTTTGAAATCGGAGATCTGAGCTACCTGACGTCCTACACAGTCCAGGTTTATGTTCAACCTTTTTATATTCAGGATTATTCAAATGTTTTCCATTTCACCCTCGATAAGGAGCATTTCTCTCTTCATAGGTTGTTGCCTTCAATGGGATGTTTGAAAGTGAAGCAGAAACAAGAAACGTTTCCACTCACTGTACGTGTTGCTCAATAACTACAACAAAGTTCTTCACACACTGATAAGAACCAAACACTGTAACTCATGTTTTGTTTGTTTCATGCAGACGATGACAAAACCCTGAGTGGCATTTTGATCTTCATCCTCATCATTCTCATCATCATACTTGTTGCACTGCGTCTATCAGTCTTCATCAAAAAGCGAAAGAAGTCGAAAACGTAAAAGAATATTTACTGATGTAAATCATACATTAAACCACCGACTTTCATATATTAACCATTTGTCAAAAAATTATCGAAACTGATTTGTTTCTCCACAGTGTTACTAAAGAAGAAATTCAGCTCACATCAACGGCGAGTAAGTTTTCTCAATAAATTTTATAAAGACTTTATTTCATCGCGATGTGGTTGACTCAACATTGTCCCGAGTTGTTATGACTTGGGTCAACGTCTTTTATATTTTATTATGAAATAAAATGAGGCTTTTGATTTCAATAAATAATTCTGTAATTTTTATAATTAATAATTTTCTGTAGTGATGAAGATATGGTACTTTCTAATTAACCATATTTTTAATTGTGACGATCGTCCTTTTCTGTGCTAATAACTATATTTCTAATTATTTATTAGAAGCTTACATATGAAGACACCATGGAGCTGAAGACCGATTCATTATTTGCTGTCTGTGCTTGAATATCAATTTCATTTGGAGGCAATTTTTAAGAAATTTCAAAAACGTCCATGCCAAAGTTTCCCAGATTTTGATTTTAATGTTTTGTAAAATATATATTTTTTGATTCAGATGTTTACAGATGTACTGTGTATAGCTGCAGTTTTTCCTAAATGCATCTATCTGCTGTTATAGATGAATATGTAGTTTATTGCTGTGGTTTCTTTGTTCTCTTTGTTTCTCTTTGTTTGCAGATGTAGAATCAAAAAAATACAAAAAAGAGAAATAGATATTCTCCTTTTCTAAGAAGAATGCATGTACATACATTTAACATTTGTTTTCACATTTATAATATATGTGTGACTTTTGGAATATGCACAAATTTCATTACGTTTTAAATAAGTCAAATAAATCAATGTGCTTTTCATTGAATGGATTTTCTTTGAATCATTTCCTGTCACTGTTTTAACTTGACAATATTCCACTTCAATCATAATGAGGAAATAAAAAACAGAACAAGTAAAAACAAACTTTGGCACAAAAGCAGATTTTTTTTTTTGGTGGATCATATCTACTAACATTTTCCGTAAAATAAATTTTTTGTTGATTTTTTTAGGGCGCATTTAAAATATTCTAAAGAAGTTTAAAGGATGGACGGTAGCGGCCCCAATCACTACTATTCCACCACCATGCTTGACATCTGGCCTTGTAAATGTTTTTCTTTATACACAACTTTGTTTGGCTTTAATTAAATGTTTGTTAAGTCAGCAACACTAACTGATCATGATGCCCACAGAACATGGCAGCAGGCTCTTCATCAGAAACTTTACACGCCGTCGATACGAAAATATTTCCTGTATGAAACAGAATGGCAAGAAAAAAAATTCTGCTTCCTGTTAAGTGGTTGCATTCTGCATGCAACCTGCATATCTTTAGATAAACTTTACAATGAGGAGTTATTTAAATTCAGCACTCAATGAATGCAGATACTTGGAGAAAACAAGATTTCATGTTGGACACAAACAGCCTGAAATTCAGTCTCATCACTGAACAGTTCTAATCAGTTTTGAAGAAGCATCCAGGTTTTGTATCAAATGCTCCAGAATAATTGTTTTGTTGCCTTCTTCTGACTGATACCTTTCTACAGTTAGATTTTTGTTGTACTTTTTAAACTTCACTGCCAGTGCTGGATGTAAATGAGGAAAGCTCCACCAAAAAGGCTCAGTTTGATTTCTGGTTGATCAAATTCACTATATTTGATGACAGGAATGAACTCAAGGAGACTGAATGCTTACAGCAACTCTATTAGAATTCACCAATCAATCGTATTTTAAAACCATTTGCTAAATAGTGGAGGAACTGGTTTAAAAGAAAACATTATCAGAGTGAATATTTTCACAGTAAAACCACCATTTTGAAAAACACTGCAGTCTAACTCATATATGTCACTTTGACACTTTGCACAAACACAAAACACCAATAAAGGAGTGAATATAAAACTACAGACATTTAAAACTGTGGTTTCTTCAGCAGAGTAGAAATACAGCTTCCTGTCGATTCGGTGAGTGAAAAGTAGAGGCAGGTGTACAAGGTTTCATCTCAACCCTTTAACAACAAAACAAACGCTAAATTCAAAAGCTAGACTGTTGACAAAACCTTTTAGATGTGATTTACAAACACGTGACTTTATAATCTGAACTGCTGAGGTGTAAACTCAATATTGGAAAAACTTTTAAGTTTTTCCAATATTGGAAAATTTCATAGGTTTAAGTTAGGAAACCTCTAAAGGTATAATATTCATAACAATAACACATTTTAACATTGAATCAAATGTTATTTATTTATTCAAATGTTGCAGCATTGTGACATTCAAAGGACTGGAGTTGCTCACCTGTTTTATCGTCTTTTGAAATGAGAGTCTAATGTATCTAAGCGAAGGGAAACAGGAAGTAGTGCTAATGCATTTAAACGTTTCTAAACAATAATAAAGTAACATAACTCTTCCTACAGAACTGCAGACAAATGAAAAGTTGGATTTATAGAATCACTAAAAGAACCTGAATACAGATGACATGTTTCTGAGAAAATATTTTCTGTCCTTTAACATTGTTTTATTGCTTTACTCAGCCACTTTAGAGATAATATAATATCACAACACAGAAAACACGTCAGTTCAATGTCCACAAAAATGTTAAAAGTTTTATTCATTTTTAATTTGCATACATTGCATTTGTGATATGTGAATTTCATTCGTCATGAAAGGCTGACAAAGCAACTAAAGCTACCAAGACAATAAATACCACCAACGTCTTTATTTTTACTTTATGGACTCTTCAAAAGCAACTTCAGTGGGCATGCAGGAGAAAACGGACGAAAGCTAAAAAGGCACAGTCAGGCAACAGTTACAAATAAAAATACCAAGAATACCAAAAATCCTTAAAGCAACTCAGAATTTCATCTTCTTTGGAAAGAGAAGAAAACTCCACCTTTGTAGGTAATGTCTGCACAGATATAGATCCGTTTCCTATGTATAATATGCTTCATATTTCAAAGTAAATGCACTTTATGTGAATTTACATACAGTAAAATGCTTTAATTAATTATTCACAAAGGAAATATTAAGGCCTGCCTCCTGAAGGCGCTGCAGTGTCAGCTTTAGTACTTTAGCTTCAATGTGGATTTGCCAAATTAAAACAGAAAAACCCCACCAAAACCAACATTTCAAACATCAAAGCAACAAGTCCCAAACCAATACTAACGAATACTGAATTATTTTGGTGCTATCTGGATACTCTTTAATAGAGCATTATACAGGCTGTAGCTGAGGGGAAGAAATGGTTTTATAATAAAAAAGTCATAGAAAAGAGCCTAAATCCAAAGGAATATATATACTTGCAAAACACAACTAGCAAACACTGTATTTGCTGTAAATCTCTGTAACTATAAACACATTATTGACATATTTGTTAACTAGCGTTTCTCTTCTTGCACATGTAAGTTTTGATTCTGTATATAAGACACACATGATGCTTTGGATGTTAAGGAAACAGGGGTTTAATAACGTTATGAGAGGGTTTATTACACACTAAAATAGTATTAATCACTATAGATTTACCTTCAGAACGGTTCCATTATTGAAAAGTAAACCAGTTACAGTGCTAGCTTTTTATGAAACACTGGTGTAAACCATGAAACTGGAAAAATACACATAGTAACCAGTAATCCATCCCAAGAACCCAGTCTGTCTTTGGTATGAAGAGTAAACATCCCATCATGGCTTTTTCCTTTAAACAGGGGTGTTTATATGGTCGATAAAATATACTTTCATGTAGATCGATGATAATGTTTGAGATTTGTCTGATACTTTGATGAGAACACAATTTAGGCATACTGCGGCGTCTTCCTAACACGGACGGCTTGACAGCGATCTCTTATTTATAGCATAAGGGAGAAAAACGCTGCAATACTAACGAGGCTGTCGTAAACTTGACCACCTGTATGGAGAGTCAGAAATGGCTGCTGGACCCTTTAGGAAGGACGGGGCTTTATTTCATGTTCTTAATGTTTTCTTTGTGACTTTTACAGACCCAGAACAACGTGACACTTTGTACCTCGCTGGAGCTGAGCTAAGAAGAAAACATGGTGTCACGGGAAGGGTAAACAGCAGATATAAAACTGCTTTTGTTACAGCTTCAGCGACTATGGGGGCTGTCAAAAGAGACATTGTGAAGTTTTCAGACAACACAAAGGTGTCAAAATGACTAACATTCAAAGTGTTGTGGAGACATTTGCCCGTGTTCTCCCCCAAGCACGTCTCTAGTCTATCCTGTAAATGATTCTTCCTTTTCTAATACATTCATTTGACATAACCCTGCCAGCCTTGCTTTGCCAGGGTAAAAAAAGTGCAACACAACAACATCTCAACCATCAATTGCTCTGCTTTGTTTCAGATTTGCTGCTGTCACTCAGTGAAAACAAATCTCCACCAGAATTTTAAGTTTCTCAGTTTTTTTCCACCGTGCAGTAAAGCCTTGTCTGAATTTCTTTACACATTTAAAGCTAATACGGCTTTTCTTTTCTTTTTTTTTTTGCAAAGTATCTATTTTCTAACTAAGTGTTGACCTTCTCCACTTAGCACATTTTCTAAAAAAAAGAAAAAAAAGAAAAATATATTTTCCATAATTGGTTTTATGAGCTTAAAGGGTTCGGTCTGCAAGAACAGAGACATGGTTTGGGAGTTCTAGTAGCTTCTTTTTTTTTTGGACACTTGGCTCCACAGCGATGCAAATACCTTGCAGAAAGAAGGTTCTGAATCCCAGTCTGCGGTCTTTATGCATCAATTTGTATTTTCTCCCCAGGAAAGTCTTGCTTCTCTCAGGGTTTTCTGGGATCCTCCCACAGTCCAAAAACATAACTGTTAGGCTAATCGGTCTCTAAATTGTCCCTAGAAATGAGTGTGTGTGTGTGGTTGTTTGTCCACCGTGTGTCTGTGTTGCCCTGCGATGGACTGGCGACCTTTCCTTCCAGGATGTGACCTCTGGAGTTACGTTTTTGACACATCAGCTGGGCAGAACCTTTTACTTGTTACTTGTTCTTGCAGAGAACATAATGACCTTTAGTTGGGCTTGTCCTAACTCTCATCTTTCTGGGCTTATTATGATATTTATAGGGCCTTGCAAAAGTATTCATAAGCTTCGAATTTTGTACATTTTAGTGATGGAAAATCTAATTTGTGCCATTTTTGTATTACGATTGAGGGCCGCAAATAAATCACTTTGTGCCACACCTTGGACACCCCTGCTTTGGTGCATCTTTTTGGGATTTTGTGCAACAGACCAACGTAAAGTAAGTCATAATTGTTAAATCAACTGTGGAACTGTTTCCTTTCACTTAATATACACTAGTTGTGTTTCTTTGTCATATAAAGTTATAGTGAAATACCCAAAAGTTTGTGGTTGTAATGTGACAAGTGGAAAGGAGTATGGGAACATGTGCCCAGCACAAACTATAATCTGGGAGCACTGATATGTACAGCCTGCATAGGGGAACATTATTTTTGTTTTACGATGCAATACTGTTCAAAACGTTGCAAACCACTGAAAACACATGAGAAGTTGTTGAAAGGGTCTGAAAATGTCACTGACTGAGGTAAATGATAGTTACAGCTGCAGGATGGATGCCAGCAAACGCAAGCTGAGACAATTTTTCAACCTTAACAAAAGAAAAGTTGAAATTCAAATCCTAAAATTCGAAATTTACCTGCTGAGAGAAAAACATCTAGATCACTGACTCGGGTCTGTTTCATAAACTTTACCCTGGCGGTAATAAATCTGCTTCATGTACCAGGTATCACCAGGAGCTAAACTCTGGAGGAAGTTTTTTTTTTTTTGTAAAGGGCAAAAGTTGTGTTTGGAGTCCAACATGAAAGGCAGGAGTGGATGAGTGGAGGAGTTCTGCCGGGTATAGTGTGCGACTCCGGGCTTAGCAGCTCTGTGTGACGCTCTGTGTGATGCTCTGCATGTGTTTGGCGATGCCGTACACGTAAGCGATGTCCGGCCTCTTCTCTGGGTCGGGGTTGATGCACATATCTACCAGGTTCCTCAGCTGGTGAAAGGGCAGGGGAATAGCGGGTGGGAAAGTAGAGAGAGAAACGATGAGACGGTTAATGATGCTTTACTACCAACTTGTTGATTTTAAAAGGCAGAAACATCCTGCAGGTTGTTCCAACTCAGGAGCAAAACCAGGAGCCAGCGGTGCTCTAATCGGGTTTTGGTCAGATGAATCCACTGTAACCCGAGTTCACACAGCAGCTGATTGGAGCAGACAGACAGGACTACTGCAGCTGAGACCATCAATGCCATCATTGAAAAAAAAGGTAATAAAAGATGCAATGGGGAAAAAAAAAACAACAAAACACATCTATACAAGGTCGCTATGGTAACCGTCTGTCGACTTCCTGGCTGCTGTTGCGTGGCACTGGCTTTTCATCAGCCGTTGCGTGTTGTTGTGCGTGTTGTTGTGCGTGTTGTTGTGCGTGTGTGTGCGGGTGAGAGGGAGGGTTAAAAAAAAAAGAAAGTGAGAGGAAGATGCAAATTCAGACGGTCTGAGAATTAGTCGCATGGAGTGGAGACGGAGGGCGTGCAGAGAGGCAGATATGTAAAATATTCATGCGCTTCTTTGCATGGCGAGTGGGATGGGGGGGGGGTGGGAGGAGTGTCAGGTGGAGAGTGGTGGGGAGGGGGGCGAGCGAAGGAAGGTGGTGGTGGAGCGAGGAGCGGAGACGGAGATGGTTAAATGACACAACAAAGATGAGCAGCTGACAGTTTGCTGCCGATCCTTCAGGAGCATTGTTTACATCCAGACAGGCGCTGCAGGCACCCCCCTCATCTCCATCTCTCCATCGCCCTGTCTCCCGCTCTATCATTCCCGCTCTCTTTCGCTTTGTCTTCTTTTCTCCAGGATGGGGGTGACATGTGGGGTAACGCTTAAGCTCAGCGTGTGTGTGTGTGTGTGTGTGTGTGTGTGTGTGTGTGTGTGTGTGTGTGTGTGTGTGTGTGTGTGTGTGTGTGTGTGTGTGTGTGTGTGTGTGTGTGTGTGTGTGCAGAGAGAGTTGCTGTTACAAATATACACTTGCACTTTATTTTTTTGGCAAGTACAAAAACACACATGAAGATGCCACAAAGGCTCAAAATACCTCAGTAATAGCTCTTATTCCCCTAATGAAGTAATTACTGAGGCATAATAGAAGCTTATTCTCTTCAGGATTTATTATTAGACGACAGAAACGTGACTAACAATATTAAATACTTAAGTCTGTCAGTAAACTTTAGTGAATCCTCGAGGTTGAAATAATAATAATAAAAATAATAATCAAGAACCTTTCAGAGCATCTTGTTAGGGGGCATGTAAATGGGAAACTGCATAAGGCAGGAGCTACTGGTCCTCAAAAGGGACAGAAAGAACTGCTTTGCCCAACCTGCAGGACATTACCAGTCAGAGGCTAAAACAGCCCAGTCAGTCCTTCTCTTTGCCACCATCAGATTTAGCCCAGAATAATTTATACTGCTGGCAGTTTCAAGTTTAAAGCCATCTTTAAATTTGACTCTGCAGGTTTCTTCTGAACTGGAAGTGAGATTAATGTTTTGGAGAAGCTCAGATAGAATCCCAGCTAATGATTAAAAAGAATATCAAATTTCCATTTGCTGACGCACTATAAACACAAACATGTTTTGGGAGAAAATATCATAAATTACCCTGACCAACAACACAATTATTTGTTTTCTTCATGTTTTTAATTTTATAGGTGAACTGACAACCGAGAAAAATTTATTTTCTGTGTTTAATTTAAAATTTTTAACACAAAATACGTTCAGTTTTTCCAAAAAGGCATTTCTGGAGCCTAATTATCAAACCAAAAATATTGTTATCTCACTAATGGACCTGTGTCAACTTTTTGTAAACTGTATTAGCAGACCGACCTGTCGCACATTCATTTTTAAAGGCTTGCTTTAAAAGATATTCTATAAGCAATAGTAAATATTTTTGCATTTACGGATGGATTATCAACAAAACTTTTAATGTCAAAAAAACACTGCTGTTTTTTTATTTTATTTTTGAACTGAGTAAAACCTTTTTAACTTTTTGGGTGAATTATTAACAGTTCACCAAATGTTCACTTTAAGCGTTTTTACTCTTAACATTTCAAAATGAGAAAGCACATCCATGTAATTTGCAAATATTTGAATTACTGCTAAGATCAAAAACTGGACATAAAACACCATCCTTAACGTAGTACAACAGAAACATGGATTATAATTGGGAACAAAAAAGTCTTTTGTACTAAAATTTCAGCAATCAAGCAAAATTGATAACAAAAATCTGTAACGGATGTATGGTGAACACCTACCATACATCTGTGGATATGTCTCATCAGTGTTCTGAAGCATTTGTCTGAATGCATTTAGAAGAAAACGAACTTCCACCCACATGAAGACGACACGCAAACAAAAAGCCACGCAGATTCTCATGCTTGTCATCGGTAATCAGCAAAAGGGCAAAATGCAACCAGAAGTCTGACTATGTTACATTTTCATGCACGAGGAAGTCTTCACAGAAGTAGAGTAGATGATTAAACAATGATTTTTGGGAAACTCTAGCCCACTTAGTCTGACTCTCCTCTAAAGCATGACCATATGTTTTTTATATGTGAATTTAATTCCCAAATGGATAAAATCACTGCCAGCCTTTTGATCAATTATACACTGTTCACTGGGTCAGACAGATGGGCGGATTTTCAGAAAAGAAAAGTTACAAAACGAAATGAAAAACAGGGCAGTAAAGCATTTGTTATGCCTGTTCCAAGTACTAAGAAACCAATATTGTTGAGTCCTCTTGTAAAATCCCTGAACAAGTCCACATATATTTCATGACAAAGCAGAAAAAGGCTACAGGTAACAGTAGAAGTACTTACCTGTTCCGTGTAGTGATCTGCAGGAAGAGGGGGGTAGTCACACTGTTCTATCTTCTTGCAAAGCGAGTAGAGGTTCATCTTATCCCCATAGAAAGGACTCTGTAAGGCTGCCATCTAAAGCACAGAGATGTAAAGAAATATAGAGAGGAGACATATAGAGAAAAAGGGGATAGAGACAAGAGGAGAGCTGTTGAGTCTACAAAGACTAAAAGGAAGTAAAACACTCAATCAAACTCTCAACAGGTGGTGCAGGCTGCACCGGGTGTGGGAATCAGTCTCTGCACAGTTAAATGCTCTCGAAGCGTGAGGTTTAAAGGACCGTGTGAGTGTGAAAGACAACAAGTTGATCAGTCTAAAGTTTTTTTTTTTTTGTGCAAGGCAGCTTAGTGTACCATCAATGTTTATGTGAATCAAAACAGAAAAAGTGTTCCCAGCAGATGTTTTTCTTCCCGTTTGCTGGTCTTTTCCTTGGCACTACATCACTAGGCTGAATGAACATGTGAGATGGAGCTTTAAATGTAGAGGTGAATGGACACAAGACCAAAGATTATTTCATTTTTCAGGGGCAGCAAGAAATGTGAAACTTCTAGACAGATGAATGTCAATATTCAGAGCAGCCAAAACTAGGATGAACTGCAAAACAGAAATACATGAGAACATGTCAAAAATCCTTTCCTTCTCTAAGAATATACACCCAGCATGACATTTTCTCTTAATATTGACTCACTATTTAAAGGCACTCAAATTAAAATTACATTCTTATGTTCAAATGTGATTTTGCTTAAATTTATTTTATCAGGTAATCTGATATACTCGTGTTCTAATGATGCTTACAGCATTACTGTGAAATTCATGTTCTGATCATTTCCTCTGTTCTGACTTTATAACAGTTTACTGGTTCAAATCTACAGATTTTCAAAAGTGAGAATTTCAAAGAGGATGACTGTCAGTTTCACTTTCAGATTTAAGCGTCCAGCATGCTGAGGTGAGCAAATCTTTAGTGCAGACCGCAGAGGATTCTGCGATAGTATTGGGAAATAGTGATAATGTCCTTCTATGAAGCCTGTAATAATTTTTGCATGGATGAGACGGTGTACTACCTGGCAGTCATTTTCCTCTCAGTCAGTGGAAAATATGGTTAATACACACAAGTATGCAAGATCATTTTTGAAAACACAGTAATATAAAAAATTTGTCATACTGCCCAGCTGCATATTAATATTGTGTGTTATGCTGCCTTCCCGTTTGACCAGCATCCGGTTATTCTATCTAGTTTCTGCTTGTCTTTTGTTTTTGCTTCTATCTAAAGCCTTACTGCTACACCTAATTTTCAGGATCCAAATTTAGTTTAAAATTTCACTCTGAAAGCAATTGTGATGGTTGCTTCTGACCTTTGAATGAGCTCATTGTGAAGAGCCAAACCTGCAAAGAGAAGCTATAAAAAGGAAAAAATCTCCAGAAGAAACTTCACAGGTTCATCACGGGCAGAGGGAGTTTTAACACAATATTTTCTCAACTATTTTTCAGCTGTCTGTGTATTGTTTTGGAGACAAAAGTATGTGTTTGACAGGCTGCTAATTTGGAGTGTGAAAGCTGACAAAGAGGAAATTTTCACATGTGAATCAAAAAGGAGTACTTCCGTACAGAATACATCAGTTCGGTGTGAAGGTGCCATATTATAAAATGCTTGGCACCACGAAGAGAAAATATTTGTGTGAGTTGGACCAATGAAGAAAAGTGGCTGCAGGATAAATGACAAAATAAAAAAATAAGATTCTGGGTAATAAATATAAAGATTTCCAACCACAATCACAACATGGATCTGTAACTTTTCAATTCAGTTTACTTTTGTAAGATCACAAAAATGTACATTTTATACATATATAAGTATACATAATAAAAGAGTTAAACAGTACTCGATTAAATCTATTCAAACTAAATCAATTTTTATAACCGGATTCAAATTTCATTCAGTCTGATGCAATGCATATTCTGCAGAGGAAACTGTCCATTTTTAGCAGGAAGAAACCTCCATCATAACCAACCTCGATATGACTGGACATTTGATGAGTCCAGAGAGCTAAAAGGACAGGAAGAGTCAAAGAACAACTGCAGAAGGACTTGTCCAGGTCAGCTTTCCATAACAATAAAACTAATGACACAGCTGATGGCAGCTGTGTCTCTGCCAAAGAGCTTGGTTAAGGAAACTGACAGCTAACCATGTATTGTATTGTATGAAAGAAAAACAGAGAACTAAAATGTACTTGGTTATGGTGGATTTGTTAATGGATGTGTCCATGATAGACTCGTAACCGAATCCCAGAAGAACTGAGTCAGGAAAACTTTATATGAGAAAACAGAATATAAACAAATGGTGCATTAATAAAATAATATATGTAGTAAAGTGCCTGTGATATTTTGGATTGCTCTATCATGTAAAATGTATCTATCTATGTTGTGTGTCAAAAGAAAATCACTGTCAGTGGTAAAAGAACATATCTAAACAAAAAGACATTGGGATGGGGGTAGTTTCTGTTAAAAAGAAAAGAAAGACCAGAAAGAACACAGGTTTCTTTTAATCATTGAGAAATGTGTCAAAAACTGTACTTTACAAGGAGTACTTTCTATGGGAACAACAGTTTTTGTCATTATATTAAAGACTTGTTGCACCGATTTGCATTAGGACTCCTTCAATAGTTAAGGTTGTTGCTTGGACAGAAAAGAAATAATAAAATAAAAACACTTTTTCATTCCATTAAAGTAATTTATTGCCACTGTTCAAACAGTCGTCTGTCTCCAACTTGAATGGAGCTTTGGTACTTCAGTTTTCAGTGGCTGACACGTCAACACTGATGTCACAGAGACCAAAAACAACATGGGTCCAACTGAGCAGACTGACAGATTTTTGACTTGAAGCTGCCAGCAGGAAGAGAAGAAGACAGAAACAGAATCTCAGTGGGCCCTCTCTCGTCTGGACACAATTACTCAAACACACATATCTGAACTACAACCTTAGAAAAATATACAACAGGATGAAGAAAATGATGTAAAGCCTACTGAGGCAGGCACAGCAGGAAGCAGAAATTTAGGTGAGGATTTAAAAACTCTACTAAAGTCAATGCCTTAAAGTTTCTAAACTGATTCTATGGCTGCAAGACAATCTGCTGGGATTCCTTAGACAGAAACTTTTTAATCTACTCTGGTTAATTAATTGTGCACAGGTCTTTTGTATAAGATTCTGCAGGTTTAACTGACCTGCAGAAGAGGTCAGCTAATCCTCCAGTCTGTCAGGTTTAACTGACGGGCCCACCAGGTCATGTCTGCATTTACAGTTAACAATAGTTATTCCACTGTTGCCAAATCAGGAAAGTTCTTGCAATATTTAGCGAACTTTCAGACAAAGATAATTGATATCAACCAAAATTAGAATCGGCAGGTCAAGCTTTTTATAAGATTAGTAGTCGGCGATTGGTTAGAAAACTACAATTGGTGTTTTAATTTTTGTACTTGCTGTAACATCAATTGGCCATTTGGGACACAAATAAATAAATCAGAATCTGCATCTGAATCGGTGCACCCTTAAAAATACTAAATTGAAAATATTTTTTTTGCATTCTAAAATGGTCAATTGCAAATGTACGCCAGATTTATTCTCTGCAAAGTAGATAACTTTTTAGAATGTAATAATCATTTTATGTAGAAATACATACAGGATATCCTCAAGTATCTGTGGGCAGTTGTGGCTTTAAGCTATCTCATCTGAACTTCCTACATTCTGTGATTTTTGGACAATGTCGTCATTGGTGTCTGGGGTGAGCATCTGCTGCCATGAGATTTTGTCCAACTGTCCAAATATTAAGTTAGCATGAACAATTTCAGTTCATAAACAATTACTGGACTCCAAATAGTTCTTTGCGATATGAATGTTGCACTCACTGATGTTGTGTTGACGATATTTTCACCATATACCATATAGCCTTGCTCTCTAGTCACACTGTTGGAGACCAACATTGTCTGTTGGATATAAGTTAAATTTATGTCAGTCTAGTCAAAGTGAATGGAGTTTGTAATAGTCTTAGGTTGGAGGAGTGAAGTGTGGGTGAAAGTTTACATCCACAGTGTGGTGGATATGTCTTATTTAAATCAATATATCTCATCAATAAGAACTTCCAGCTGCAGCAGAATATAAATCTGTCACATGTGATGTGGGAATAGAAAGTAAAGGTATTTTTCATGACCAATTTACTACTGCATGTCTTTCCAACAACTAAAGTTGAAGCTTTAAAATGTCTAAGATCAAAGAATTGATCTAAATGATCCCTCTCTGAGTTGGCTTCCTTCAACAAAAGACATTTTGTTATAAAAGTCAATTTCAGTTAATTTAGAGCGGTCCATGTGGAAACACTCCTAATTGCTTTGCAAAAAATACACCCTGTGTGTATTTTTTAAATTAACCAAATGCCTTTATGCCCAAATTTCTCGGAAAGTGTGGAGAAAAAAGACTGAGGCAGAAACATGGAGGAAGGAAGGGGTGGGGGGGCGAGCAGGCAACTGCAGACACCAGGAGGCAAAGGGTTAAACAAGACCCCCTCGTATTTTCATGCATCTTCTGCTTTTGACAGATGAAAAATGTCAACTGTCCTGTTTGTATTTGCGAGTTTTTGCACTATTCATCTGCTTCATTAGTGCCTGCTGCTCCTAGCCCCTGACAGCTGCCGGCCCCCTGCTCTCGGAGTGAATACACACGCACACACACACACGCAAGCGTGCATAAAAATACATACCCACACAAAAACAGGAAAATACACACTTGCTCCTTTTTCAGACTGTGTCGTCGCAACGGTTTAGATGATTGACTCACTCTCTGACCTCTGAGGCCCTGGTGTGTGAGTGTCAGCCTGTGTGTGTGCACCTCTGTGCATGTGTGTGTATACGGTTCATTGATATTCGGGAAAGACACACTGCACACGCATGCCTGCTGTCTGTCTAAGGGGAGTGAGCTGCTGGTGGCGGAACACACACACAGACACGCATCTCAAAAACCGCACACACATATGCATGCACACACACACACATGCATGCACACACACACATGCATGCACACCCACACCCAC